GTCTACGTAGCCGACCAGCTCCAGCGACTCAGGTCCACCGCCGAACTCCAGGGCGGTGTCACGCGTGTTGGCGAGGTAGGCCAGACAGCGGTCGACTTCGCGCCAATGCTGGTCGCTCCTCACCGTGAGGCCGCTCCCCAGCTTGCTGCAGGCGAAGGCAATGTATGGCCTCGTCGTCGTCGCCGCGAACTGCAGCGAGCCAACCTTCTGCCGGTACTCCTCCTCCTGGCGCTCCTGCGCCTCCTCGTCGTCGAAGGTGAGCTCGGCGTAGGCGTCGACCGAGATCGGCGTCTTCGGAGTCCGTCCGCCCTGCTCCTCGTCGATGAAGCGCCTACGCAGCTTGTCGGCGTAGCCCTGCTGGTGCAGCCACAGCTTCCCCGCCGACCTGTCGCGGACGATCTCCAGCCCGAGGTACTTCTACACCGGCGAGATCTCGCGTAGCTCAAAGGCGGCCTCCAGCAGCTCCTTTAGCTCCTTCAGCATCGCGGGGCTGCTGCTGGCGGCGAGCAAGTCGTCGACGTAGACCAGCACCCAGCAAGTCGCTCCGTCGCCGACCTTGAAGTAGAGAGCCTCGTCGACCTGGCTCTTCTTCCACCCAGCGCCGACCAGCACGTCGTTGAGCGCCAAGTACCATAGCAGCGGCGACTGCTTCAGCCCGTACAGGCTCTTCAGCAGCTTGCACACCCGGCCGGTTCCGTCGTTGAAGTAGTCCGGCTGCGACATGTACAGCACCCGGTCGAGCTTGCTCTGCAGGAAGGCGTTCTTCATGTCGAGCTGCATCAGGTTGAGATTGAGCACGGCGACGATGCTGAGGAAGATCCGCAGCGTCACGTAGCTGCCCACCGGCGCGAACGTCTCGTCGTAGTCGGCGCCGTACACCTGCGTGAAGCCCTTCACGACCAGCCTCGCCTTCTCGCGCTCGACGGTGTCGTCGATGTGGTACTTCGTCGTCAGCACCCACCGGTTCTTCATCACGTTCACTCCCGGCGGGCGTTCGACCAGCTCCCACGTCCCCATGGCGATGAGACTGCGGATCTCCTCCTCCATGGCGGCCTTCACCGCCGGACCCTTCCAGCTTGCCAACGCCTCCTTCACCGTCATCGTGGAGATGTCCCAGCGGTGCTCGGGGTCGGCCAGCATGTCGGGGTCGAGCTCCGGAAACTCCTCATCTTCGTCGGCGTCGTCGTACAGCAGGTCGTCGTCCTCGTCGACCACGTCGTACACAGTGGTGAAGGCAGCGGGGACGAAGAAGTCGGGCGGCCTTTGAAGTTGACCAGACTTCCGGGGTTCAAGCGGAACTCCCGCCACGTCACGGTCGGGGTGTAGGGGCAGGTCAGGTCGTGGACGATCCCCTTTCCGTCCACGAAGGCGGTGAACTCCCGGCCGAGAAACTCCCCTCCTCGGTCAGAGCGCAGCTGCAACACCGACTTCTTCGTCTGCCGCTCCACCAGCACCAGCCACTTCTGGAACTCCAGCAGCACGTCCGACTTCTTGGCGACCGACCTCACCCACACGTAGCGGGAATTGCGGTCCTTCAGCAGCAAGAAGTACAGGCTACCGTCCTTGGCAGCCACGCGGAACGGCCCGCACAGGTCGATGTGCACGACGGCCAGCACGTCGTCGGCGTCGGAGCCTTGGTCGGGGAAGGTGTGCCGCGCCAGCTTCCCGCTGACGCACGAGACACACGGTGAGTCGGCGCCCGTCGCCGACTTGAGGTCCAGCCCAATGGCGACCTCGTTCTTCGCCGAGCTCCGGATGGTGTCCATGCCGACGTGCGCAAGCCGAGCGTGCATCCTGTCCGGCGTCGACTTCGCCTTGGAAACGATCGCCCGCAGGGCCACAACCTCCGGCGTGGTCGACGTCGGCCTCGTAGAGCAGGGGCGCAGGTCGGTGCAGAGGATACGCCCGGAGTACGTCGCCCGACCGAGCACCTCTCCCGTCGCCGAGACGAGCAGCATCCCGTCGCCATCCTCCTTCAGCTTCACGCCATGCTCCTTCAGCTGGCCGGACGACAGCAGGTTCGCATGCACGCCCGGGACGTACAACACGTCGGGGATGAGCACCTGCTTCCCGGCCTCGCCTTGCAGGGCGACAGTGCCGCGGCCCTGGACGTCCTGCAGCGCCCCATTGAAGCCACGCACGTGCTTCACATCGCCGCTCGGCCCCAAGTCGACGAAGGCGTCCTTCGTCCCCATCAGGTGGTGAGAGCAGCCACTGTCGAGCAGGACCACCGCCGGGTTCGCCTGCACAGCCGCCGCCACCGCCTGGAAGTCCTCGCCAGCCTCCGGCGCCAGCGAGACGGTCGGCTCCACGACGCCGACCAGCGAGCACGACGCCGTCTTGTCGTCCCGCGCCTTGCCGCCAGCAGAGGAGTCGGCGTCCTTCGCCGTGGTCGACGTGGTCGACTGCTTCTCCTTGCGCGGCTTCTCCTTTCCTCCACGACGTGGACGACGACTGCCAGATCTCCCACGGCCTCCCTTGTCGTCGTCGTCGTCGGAGTCACTGCGGTCGGGGCACTCAAAGGAGAGATGGTCGGGGCTGTGACAGATCCAGCACTCCCGACGTCGACCTCCTTTGCCACGTACGCATTCTGGTGCAGGAGGAGTGTCCTGTTGGGGCGGTCGCGCACAATCTGCAGCCCCAGGTAGCGCTCCACTGGCTCCACCTCACGGAGCTGAAACGCCTTGGCCAACAGCTCCTTCAGGTCCTGCAGCAGCTGCTTGTCTTCACTTGCCGCCAGCAAGTCATCCACGTAGATTAGCAGCCACACGCGCTTCCCGCTCGACCCATCCTTGTAGTATAGGGCCTGGTCCACAAGGCTCTTCCTGTATCCCTCCACAAGGAGCACCTTGTCCAGCTCCTTGTACCACAGAAGGGGACTCTGCTTGAGTCCGTAAAGGCTTTTGTGGAGTAGGCACACCTTGCTGCTGCCGTCGGTGAAGTAGGGTGGCTGCTGCATGTAGATCTCGTGGTCGATGGTGCCGTGAAGAAATGCATTCTTCACATCAAGCTGCAGCAAATCCAGGTCCATAGCTGCTGCGATTGAGAGGAGCACGCGAACGGTGGTGTAGCTGCCAACAGGAGCATAGGTGTCGTCGTAGTCGATGCCGAAGCGCTGGCTAAAGCCCTTTGCCACGAGCCTGGCCTTATACTTCTCCACGGTGCCATCAGGTCGCAGCTTCTTCTTTAGTAGCCATTTGACGCCGACTGTTTTGCGACCTTTGGGTAGGTCGGCCAATGACCAAGTGCCTTGCTCATCAAGGCTCTCCATCTCCTCCTTCATAGCAGCCCACCATTCCTTGCCTTCAGGTCCGGTCAACGCAGCTGCCAGGTCGAGGATGACACCTCCCCAAGCGCCTTCCTCCTCCTCATCCTCGTCCGGGTACTCCACTTCGTCATCGCTGTCCGTGTCGCAGTCGTCCTCAGCAAGGTACGCCATGTCATACGGGTTCTCCTCCTCGTCCGCATCATGGGCCGTCAGGGCTGATGGCTGAAACCGTACGGGTGGCACCCCCTTGTTAGGCCTGCTGGAGCGACGTGGGGGTTGTGGAATGGGCTGGATGGGAGGAGCTGCAAGTGAAGGCTCATGCGCATGAGCCGCTGGCGGCTGCTCATCCACTGCAACTTCTCCTTCCTCCTCAAGATCAGTCGTATCGCCTCCATCCTCAAGGGGACCAGCTTCTGGTCCCACAAGCGCCGAATCAGCAACGGATGGTGGACCGACAGGCGGAGGTGTAGTAGGTGCCTTGCCGCCCAAAGGGCCCACCGAGCGATCAAGGGGTTGCTCTCCCCCATGCACGGACGGCACCGGGACCACGATGACAGTACGTGGTGGCGGTAGATTCTGCTCGGGGTCGTGGGGCTCAGGAAAGAGAGATGGGACAGAAGCAAAGGGTGGTGTGGGCTGGTCATTCCCATCGCCCGCATGTGCACGCCACTTCTGCCACCTTGCAAGTGACATATCCTCATAAAAACGTGCATCCTGGGTGATGACCATGCGCTGTGACTCAACATCCACCACACGCCATCCCTTGCTTTCCATGCTCATGCCCAAATGCATGCCCCAACGAGTCTTGCTTGCAAGCTTCCCCTTACGCTCGTGCTCAGGGATGAGGTACTGAACCATGCACCCGAACACACGGACCATGGAGACATCGGGCTTGACATTGAACACCACCAAATGAGGGGTCACACCATGGGGCAGGGTGGACTGGTGCACGCGGTTTACCACCCACAAGAACTGCTGGAAAGCGAAGTGCCACCAGTGTGTTTTCACCCCCATATGCCCCAACATCACACGCATGCCCTCGGTTACCGTACGGTTGCGGCGTTCAGCCACACCGTTCTGCTGGGGGGTCGAGGGGCAGGAAAGTTGACGCAAGATCCCTCGTTGCTTCAGCAGCAGCAGGAACTCGTTCGACATAAATTCTCCTCTACGGTCCAACCGCAACACCTTCAGCGTCATCCCGGTCTGGCGCTCAGCTTCGGGAAGCCACTCCTTGAAGGCAGCAAGCGCATCACTTTTCAGCTTCAACGTCGTCCCCCAGGTGTACCGCGAGGCATGATCCACGAAAAGAATGTAGTACCTGCTGCCATCCATGGCTGGGGTCTGGAATGGACCGCACACATCAGTATGGACCAGCCCAAGAACCTGCTCCTCTCGCTCGTCGTGCAGCGGAAACGATTCACGAGTGAGTTTGGCTTCATGGCAGGAGGTGCACGGCATATCCTCACCTCCTTTCTCCAGGTCCATACCGAACACGCCACCGCTCGTGGCTGTCCGCTTCACCGCATACGTCTTGAGGCTGGCCACTTCATCCTTAGTTTCCGGCTTGCTTGTCGCCACAGCAGCAGTCTCCTTCGCCGTGCCGTTGCATGCCGATGCAGCCCCTGTGCCGTTGCTCGCTGCTCCAGCCGCCATATCGTTGCATGCCGCTGCAGCCGTCGTGCCGTTGCATGCTGCAGCCGTTGCACCGTTCCTTGCTGGCCCCGGTTTCAGGTCAAGGCAGTGAAGGCGATGGCGGGTATCGTGCCATTGCAGCCACTTGACCTCCTGATGCGATGATGCGAGTGACTCCTTCCTTGGTTTGCAGCTTTGCTCCGTTTTCCAAGAGCTGCCCAGGGGAGACCAAGTTGGCCTTCATTCCTGGCACAAAGAGGACATCATGCAGAGTCACGAGCAAGCCGTTAGTGCCCTCCAGCAAAACCTCACCAACACCGGCGACTTCTTGCATTGAATCATCAAACCCTTTGACGGATTTCGTTGCAGATGGATCACGGATCACCGTGAACCACTCCTTGGGGCCGGACATGTGTTGGGAGCATCCCGAGTCAAGGAACCACAAGTCCTTGTCGTTGACCAGCAGCTTTGCAGCTGAGCACGCGACGGTGAGCGCCACGCCCTTCCCGTCTCCTTCAGCAACGTTCGCAGCTGCTGCGGGCGTTGCATCCTTCTTCTTGTTGGGGCACTTGGCAGCCATGTGTCCCTCTTCATTGCAGTTGTAGCAGCGCCCCTTGAAGGGGCCTCGCTTCTTCTCCCGCTTGCCATCCTTCTTCTTGTCCGTCTGCTCCTTCCCTCCTTTTCCCTCCTTCCCGTTGACCCCCGTTGTAGCCACGATCGTGTTGACAGCGCCCGAGAAAGCAGATGCATCACTGGTGATCTGCTTGTAGCTCTGTTCGATGGGGAGAGTCTGCTCCTCCATCAACACCTCGCTGCACACACGTTCCACCGTCATGTCGAGCCTGGAAATGTCGAGCTTGCGGCGAAGGAACCCGTACTCTGGTGGCAGGCCCTTCAGCACGTGAGCGGCAAACGTGGCCATGTGGACCTCCTGTCCAATGGTCAGCAGCTCCGCTCGGATGGTGCGGGCCCTATTGCAGTAGGATTCCGCCGTCTCATCATCTCCCTTCCTGAGTTGGGCTAGCTGGGTCTGAAGTAGGGAAGCGTGGAGGGCATCACGAGCTTGATAGGTAGACAAGATGTATGCCCATGCCATCTGCCCGGCTTTCTCTTGCTGAGACATTCGGATAGGTGGAGAAACACAACGATTCAGCACCATGAATGCAAGCATTTGGCCCTTTGCGTACTCCCTTTGTTGCAAAGGGTTGTTCGGGGCCGGGCTTGGTGCTGTCCCGTTGCAAAACTGCCACAAATCAGCGCATTGGAGCTGAGGTCGGATGGCGCTGACCCACGCGGTGAGGTCGTGCCTTCCCTCCAGCAGCGGCATCACGGAGATATGCTCTACTCCAAACTTGAATTGGCCGTAGCTCGTCCCGATCATTCCCGTGTCAATGGTCGGTGCAATAGCTCTTCCTCCAATGCCTATGGCACCAGGAGCCTCGTACGCTGCTCCTCCTTCACCGGCTCCTCCTTGCTGGCCGCTCGCAGGTGCTTGCTCCGCCGCGCGCTCCCGAACCATGCGTAGTAGACGACCGTCCACAATGAGGTCGACCTCCTCGTCACGCAAGTTAGGGTGGTGCTCACGAACGGACGCCTCCAACTCCTGACGGGCATTCACGCCCTCGGCGCTCGTTAACCACTCCATCCGCGGTCAAAACGAGCGTCGGCCACACCAACGTAGGAACGAAGTGACGGGAGGACGGAATCAAGCCGCTAGTTGGATCGACGAAGGTAACGCAGCTCTGATACCATAAAGAATTCCACTACTATAGCAGCTTGATAGTGCTCGAAAGCACGATTCCAACGCACCAAAGATTGCAGGAAACGGTCCACTATAGCCAGAGATACACACAAACATAGCAGTGATAATGACTTAGATGATTTCTGGTTTGTGCTCTCTGGTTTTATACTAGGACGCAATACAAAAACAAAGCACACAAGAAAGTGTCGACCCGGGTCGCGCGCTGAATTTCGTCGACGCGAAATTCCGAGCCTTGAATTTCGCCGAGCGAATTCCATTGACTGGAATTCCGTAGACGAGAATTTCCGCGACCAGAATTCCGTCGACCACCGACTGTAACTCCCGTGCGAATTCCGTTGACTTCGACACTTCGCTGCCGAGTTTCAAACCGAACGCGACCCGAGATCGATTTCGCCAAAGTGTCCCCAATCTGTCCCCAAACTGTCCCCAATCTGTCCCCAATCTGTCCTGCCAAGACACTTTCGGGACACTTGAATCGAAAGGTCTCCAGTTCGAAACTCAAGTGCAGCATAACCAGCCCCTTAGCAGAAACTGTCCTGAATCTGTCCTGAGACACTTTCAGGACAGATTTGAAGGTCACAAGCTCGAATCCCAGCGCCGACAATTTGTTGCTCATGGCAGCATTTCCTTCTAACATGAGCGTCGCCCGCGTGCTCGGCGCCATGGACAGCCGCTTCAGCAAGTTGTAGCTGCTCGGGAGTCCCTGCATGACATGGGTGATGTACGACGCCGTCGAATACTCCGCACCGGCCATCCTGATGGTGGCGAGAATTCGCCGGGCCCGGTTGCAGTAGTCGGTCGCCGTCTCCTCGTCGCCCATACGCAGGTTCGTCAGCTGTCCCTCCAGCTGGGCGATGAACAGGTCGTCGGTGACTTGGTAGGTCGACTCAATGAAGTGCCACGCCTGGTGGCCGGCGTCGAGGTACTCCCTGCACCACTTCAGGGCGATCTGCACGCCCGGCGTGCAGCACCGCGAGATGACCGTAAAGGTTAAAAGCTGCACGGTGCGGTGTCAAACATTGTATGTTTATATTGTGTAGGCTATAGTGGGTTTAGCCTTAGAGGGTACACAAACTTAGGGTTTCATACTTGTACCCACCTTCCTGCTAGTTCACCCCATTCTCGTTCTATTCTAGATTCTAACATGGTATCAGAGGCCTAGGTTGCTACCTAGGACCGCCTTCTACAATGGGCCCACTATTCCGCTAGAAGCGCCCTCGTGCGCCCTACCTTACGTGCGCCCTCGTGCGCCCTACCTTACGTGCGCCCTCGTGCGCCTTTCTCTGCTAGTGCGCCCTCGTGTGACCGCGCGCCGCCCCTGCAGGCTCTCGCCGCCCGCCGCGTCGCCCTGCCCGTGGCGTCACCGCCTCCCCGCGGCGTCACCGCCTCCCCGCGGCGTCGTCGCCTGCCCGCGGCGTGTCAAACTATATGTGATGCATATTGTCTAGGCTGTAGTGGGGTAGCCCATATGGGGTACAACCTAGTTAGGGTTTACTACTTGTACTCCTGCATCCTGTTAGTTCATTCATTCCTGCTGCTAGATTCTAACATGGTTTCAGAGCACTAAGGTCCGTAGGACCGTTTTTTTTTCGGGCCCACCTACCGCTGCGGTTACCGCGCTACCCCACGTAGCCTTGCCTTGCCTTGTATGCCTTGCCTTGCCTTGCCTTGCCTGCGCGCTTCCCCTAGAGGCCCGTAAGGCCCGCGCGCCGCCTCTACACGCCTGTCGGGCCCGCACACACGCTGCTACCGCGCGCTGCCCGCACCGAGATCGCGCAGCCCGCCCCGAGTCGCGCGCAGCCCGCTGCAGCCACGCGCAGCCCGCACCGAGCCGCGCGCAGCCCGCTGCAGCCGCGCGCAGCCTGCACCGAGCCGCGCACAGCCCGCTGCAACCGCGCGCAGCCCGCACCGAGCCGCGCGCAGCTCGCAGCTGCCGCGCGCAGCCCGCGCCGAGCCCGCGCAGCCCGCGTCGAGCCGCGCGCGGCCTGCTACGGCCTCGCGCAGCCCGCGCGCGGCCCGCAGCAGCTCGTGCCGAGCCGCGCGAGGCCTGCTCCTGCCTCGCACGGCCCGCGCGCGGCCCGCAACAGCCCGCGCCGAGCCGCGCGCGGCCCGCTACTCCCTAGCGCGGCCGCGCGCGGCCCTTTGCCTCGGCCCCGACCTGCCGCTGATGCGGCCCCGCCCAGCAGCTGCCATGGCCCCGACCTGCCGCTGATGCGGCCCCGCCCAGCAGCTGCCACGACCCCGACCTGCCGCTGACGCGGCCCCACCCTGCTACTGCCGCTGACGCGGCAGCGCCCTCCAGCTGTTTCGGCCCTGCTCTGCAGCCGGTTTTGCGGCCCCGACGTCGCCGCTGTCGTGCGCCTACTCGAGCGCCGGCCCTGCTCTCCCAGCCTTTGGTGAGCGCCTGCCTGCCTGCCTGACGGCCTGCCTGTCTGCCTGCCTGCCTGCTTGCCTGCCTGCCTGCCTGCCTGCCGGCCTGCCTGCCTGCCTGCCTGTCTGCCTGCGTGTCTACTTGCCTGCCTGCCTGCCTGCCTACCTGCCTGCCTGTCTGCCTGCCTGCCTGCCTGCCTGGCTGCCTGCCTACCTGCCGGCCTGCCTGCCTGCCTGCTTGCTTGCCTGCCTGCCGCGCCTGCCTTTCCTGCGCTACTGCTACTGGCAGGTGGCCAGATGCAGCTCCAGCGACATTCACGCGAGCCTCTGACGCCTCAGCAGCTTAGTGAGTGGTATACTAGCTGGGGTTGTCGCGGTAGCCGTCGTAGCTGTCGCCCTGGAGCTGGTCAGTTGGGAGCGTCTGGCAGTGGCCAGCTGCAGCTGCAGGGACGTCCACGTGAGACACTTACGCCCCGGCAGCTCCAGGAGTGGTACGCTCAGTGTAGCAGGTCTACGCGTACAGTCCGCTGCCCGTACGTCATTCGCACAGGTGCTAGGACTGGTCAGCCTTGTGGGACGCTTGGTCACACACAGTCCCGCTGCTTCGCCCGTCTGAGCGACGACTGGCGCACAGTGTTTGGCGACGAGGCTGAGCTCCCCACGTGGCTGGAGCTGCATAGACAGAGGGTAGATATCTTTGCGCTTGACTATGATGCTATTCTCACTGCCATGTATGCATTGTCTACTAGTGCTGACCGTGCCTGTTGCCTGTGCGTACCGCCTGACCCTGGTGAGGCTGCTGCCCTAGGTGCTAGTGCGTCTCCTGCTCTAGGTGCTGGTGAGGCTGCTGCTCTCGGTGCTAGTACGTCTACTGCTCTAGGTACTGGTGAGGCCGTGGCATCAGGTGCTGCTGTGTCTGCTCTCTCTGGTACTGCGCCCACTGCGGTCTCGCACACCTTCACCCTTGACTCAGGAGCTTCCCGCTCCTTCTTTCGCGACTGCACCACACTTACGCCGCTCCGTCGGCCAGTCCCGGTCTCCCTGGCGGACCCCTCTGGGGGTCCAGTCCTTGCCCACTATTCCACGGTTCTGCCGTGTCCGGCCGTCCCGTCCGGCTCGCTGTCAGGTCTTTACCTCCCCTCGTTCTCTACGAACTTGGTGAGTGGAGCTGACCTCCAGGATGGGGGGGTTGACCAGTTCACTCCTGCGAGTCAGCGAGTGACTCACTGTACGTGTGCTAGGACGGGCCGGCACTTGGCCACGTTCACCCGTGCACCTGGCTCGAGTCTGTACACACTGACCACTGAGTCCCCTCAGGTAGCTGCGTCTGCGTTTGCGTCTGCGTCTGGTCAGCTGGCGGCCCCCTGCGAGTGTCGCGCTTTGTCGCACGACACTCTCCTGTGGCACCACCGCCTTGGTCACCCCTCCTTGCCTCGCCTGCGTAGCATGCACTCTCGCTCCCTGGTCTCTGGTCTTCCCAGGTCCCTGCCTGCCCTCCCTCCCTCGCCTGCGCCGCCCTGCATTCCTTGCGTCGAGGGGCGGCAGCGCGCCGCTCCTCACTCCTCCTCGTTTCCTCCCACAGAGGCTCCACTGCAGACGCTCCATCTGGACGTGTGGGGCCCAGCCCGCGTCCAGGGACAGGGCCGCGAGCGGTACTTCCTGCTGGTCGTCGACGACTACACGCGTTACACCACGGTCTTCCCCTTGCAGAGCAAGGGGGACGTCCCTGCTGTTTTGATCCCCTGGATCCGCGCTGTTCGTCTCCAGCTCCGCGAGCGGTTCCGGTCGGACTTTCCTGTCCTGCGTCTGCACTCTGACAGAGGTGGTGAGTTCTCCTCCGACCTCTTGGCAGCCTACTGTGCGGAGCACGGCATCACCCAGTCGTTCACGCTTCCGGCCTCTCCGCAGCAGAATGGGGTTGCTGAGCGCCGCATTGGCTTAGTCATGGAGGTCGCTCGTACCTCCATGATCCATGCGGCTGCCCCCCATTTTCTGTGGCCGTTTGCGGTCCGGTACGCCGCGCATCAGCTCAACCTCTGGCCCCGTGTCTCCTTGCCGGAGACCTCGCCCACACTGCTGTGGACGGGGAAGGTTGGCGATGCGTCGCGTTTCCGGGTCTGGGGTGCTCGTGCCTTTGTCCGCGATACCACCGCGGACAAGCTCTCCGCCCGCGCTGTTCCCTGTGTCTTCCTTGGCTTTGTCCCTGACGCGCCTGGTTGGCAGTTTTACCACCCCACCTCGCGCCGTGTCTTTGCGTCTCAGGACGTCACGTTCGACGAGTCGGTTCCCTTTTACCGTCTCTTCCCCTACCGCACTGCCTCGCTCCCCCCCCCGCCGCTCTTCCTTGCTCCAGGTGCTCCCCAGGTAGACCCCCTCCCCGCTCCCGGTCCTGCTCCTTCAGGTGTTTCTCAGGTAGACCCTCCTCCCTTGACTGCGCCGGTTGAGGTCACTGGTGACTCAGGTCCTCCTGCGAGTGGTCCTGCTCGGGGTGCTGAGCCTGGGGGTGCGGAGCC